TTAAAAATAATAAGCAAAACTTGGCAAAGTAGGGTTGACATGGCATGGTAGGGTTATACATGTCTGTCATCACACTGTATCTCATGGCTGAGATTGAATGAAACTCACCAAACAATTTTATATCAAATTTTCAAGAACAAAAACAGTGTTCCCACAGTTGAAGTTGTTCTTCAAAGTCAAGAGAAACTTAGTAAGGTGGTATCATATTACTCCAGAATGAATGTGCTATATTCTTTTTTTTTTCCAATAAACAAAATGGGCCAAGAAGATTTTGATCCATTAACTTAAATTTTTCAACCCCCCATCTGTGGATGACTATGTCTGTAAACATTCCCAAAATTCTCCATCACACCCTATAGTTATTTAAGTTCAAGGATATCAGTTTCATTACGCCACAGCTTTTTAAAACATCTTCTGATGGTTGATGAATCGTTAGTTGCACAAACGTGAAACTGAGAAATACACTACTATTTGGGATTACAGTAGTGCTCCCATAGTTATAAATAATTAAGTTATTAAAGTACTTAAAAGTATGCCATGGCACTTTTATTGGCTAAAAAATTAAATATTCTTTAGCTCCATGAATGCAGGAATATTACAGTTAATAAAGCCATGAAAGCACTGGTTGCATTTTAAAAAGTGTTCTCCTATCATATAATTTGGAAAATTAAAACTAATTCATAATCTTTTAAATAGGCCTCTCACCAGAATAACTGGGAGGGTATAAAGAGTGCGAGAAATTTAGAATTTAGGTCAATAATAAAACTTGAAAAAAATCATATTCCCTTCCTAAGAACATTAAAATTACATTAATTTTGCATACACCAACACCCAAAGGATTCATTTTATTTTAGCCCAAACCAAACAAAACAAAAACAATTCCACTCCCTCTACCACTGATTAAGCACCTTTCTTTCCTGGTCCCAAAAGTTCACTGCTATTAGCCATGACCCTAACAACAGGTGAGTTAAGATGATTTCCCAAATGTCAAAAGCCAGAGAAAGCAGCAGCACCAGTTGCAGGGCCTGCATTGTGGATCTTGTTTGTTTCCCTTCATGCTGCTCCCTCACGAGGAAACAGACAAAAACAAATCCCAGCTTCTGCCTGCTTATCAGCCTCCCTCTTCCTGGCTGCCTGTTGACCCCGTTACCAGCTAGCTCCATGTTTTATTTACAAAACTGGTTACCAAGTTTGTCATTTTTCGCCTACTGAGTGAGGTTCTTTTATTCCATTAATTGCTTGTCAGGTAAGGATGTAATCCCTGGGAGAACATTAGCCCCCTGTGTCATTGGAAAAAAAAAAAACAAACAAAAAAAACTTCTCTGGCACTTCTGGGACCACCAACTTCTCTTCCTGTTGCATGGGCTGATGGAGCACGACAAATGAAATGTGAGAAAAGAGTCTGCCAGGCTCCTCTGACATAAATCAGGGAGGGAAACTCTGGGTTGTTCATTTACAGCAAAGACACTAATTCGCATAGCCCATCTTCTCTAAGAACAAATGAATATGCTGTTGATTCAACAGAAGCATCGCACAAGGAAGCTGGCAGCACAGAAAGACAGTAACACAGAAAAGATGTGAGAGAGGCTGTGGCTCTGAGGAGTCTGGAAAGAGGAGGAGTTTGGAGAGATGGGCCTGAAATGCACAGACCCTCACACACCTGGGCTCTATCTTCAGAAGGTCCATGTCTCTAATGAACAATGACTTTAAAGCACACACTCAGAAAGCACAACCATAAGCAGACGCCTGGTTTCACTAATGTACCTGATAATTCATCTTCTTCCTTTACACCGTAATTTTGGCTTAAGGGTTCTAACTACATAGAGTTGACTGCAAGACAGATGAGTATCACCACTGGTGACCTTAGAGTTTCATACACCCGCAATTTTATTCCATACATGTGAACAACAAGTGATGGAGATTTATCATCCTTGGGTGATTTGTTTAAAACAATAATAAAAGTATTTTTAAAAATTAAAAATTTCCAGGGAAGCAACCTGTATGTACTAGGGTTTGAGAATTTGTACTTACAAAATTGCAAACGGCAAATATATTGCTAACCTGAGACTTCAGTTATCACTTGAAATCTATGATGGCAGAACTGTGACCAAATTTTGAATAGAAAGTAAAAATAAATGCACAAGTGACAGTGTTCTAGAATATCCCTTCCATGCACAGTGAAAATCAAACTTGACAAATTCCAGTCTCACTTCACTAGGTCATCAGCTTGCAGCAGAGACCAGCAGCTTTTAAAGGAGCCTTTCTGCTACAGGAAAAAGCTCTCACTACCATAGAACAATAGCATAGTGTTGAAAGTTGGGAGTGGAACTATTAGGCCTCGTTAGCTAATTATGATATTGGCATCCACTTAAGTCAGTTTTGCACTTCTGTCATTTTCTTCTTTTCAACTGCTGTGGTTCAAAACGTTTTGACTACTTAAAAGGGAATACATAATCGTTGCCTTTCCCCAGTCTAACTGCACACCACTTTCCAAAGCTATAGCTTCAATCATGCTTCATAAAATCCCCTGCAAGTATATTGTTGGAAACATAAATCAGCAAGCTGGGGTTTTAGCGTTTCTAAGACAAGCCCGGAGACCACTGAATGCTGGCTTCTCCACGGTCCCATTGACAAAAGGATAAACAAAATTATGAGTTACACTGGGTTTACTTTAATTTTTTTTTTTTTTGGAGGGGATACAGCTTCCAGTGGTGTATCTGATATTCGCTGCTGCATCCTTAATTAGACAACAAAACAGCAGCATAAAGGATTTAGACTTTGGAGTGAGGATTTCTATTTCCAAGCATCTCTGATTTCATTAAGGCACGTGGCAAAGAAGTCCTACATGTCTGTTCTCACAAAAGCTGGGTCCTTGTAACATGCATGTACGCCTCTAGGAGAGCCATGCATTTTGAAACTCTGCTAGATAGAGAGATCTTCTTTAAAACGATGCTCTCTCTCTCCTGTTTCATCAGAGTGAATATGGGCTCCCCTGTAGGCATGCTTCTGTGTGAGTCCTCCTTTATAAACATCTCACACTCTGATAATAAATTAGCCGAATCACAATTTCAAATATATGTGATATAAACATACCCCAATTATGCATGCCCAGGTATACTGTTTAAACTTAGAATTTAAACATTCCTCGATGACCCTTCTATCTCTAAATTCCAACACACTTAGTGTCTGCAATGATAAATGTCCTCACTCCATGAATAAGATATTTTTCTTCCGCAAACAACTCATATTGGAATCATAAGTCTGCATAAACTTGCTTCTTATGATTTATATTTCTCCATACCACTTTCACTTATGTAATTGCAGTTGTATTTTAACTGAAATCTTCAAGGACTGCTTCTCAGTATTCTGAAATACCTTTCCCTATTACAAAGGAACACTTAAATGCAATTAGCAGAGCTACAAAAATTAAAACAGCGTAACTGTGAGGAATAAGTACACATTTATCCTTGCCATAGAGTGCTTGAATTAACAGAATGGTCTAGTGCTAGCTCCAGATGAATATATCTGCAAAGAAGACTGAAATATTATATACTCTGTGCCATTATGGGAAAATGAGTAGCATCATACTAAGACACTTTACAAACTACAGCAATACCCAGCACTTGCATTTATTTCTGAAAATACAATCTGCATCCAATCGCTTTTCATCAGCTGCTAATACTATAGCTTTGGGGAGGAGAAGGGCACAGAAAGGAAAGCTTCACATCCAAAATGTCAAGCCCTGCTGAAGAATGATAGAAGGACTGTACAAGAGCAGAAACAGCAGTTTCTGCGTTTACAATGGAGTTCTACCACCCCCTACTGGACCGAAGTAGCAACACGGAGGAAGCGAAAAATGCTTAGAATCCATGTAGTGAAGATATTTTAACTTACCTTGCAATTTTGTATTTTAGTTAAAAATTCAAGCAACACTAACAATACAATATTTTCTGTAATTACTACACATAACAGGCTCATTGCAATGCCCTCCTTTAAAGACTTCCATGCATGCTTTAGCATGTTGTTTCCCCAATTATATGTTCAAACTTGTGTGAACACTTGAAATTGCTTCCATCTATTGTAAAAAATATTTCACGGGAATGTGTGCTATCTCTACAAGCAAGATAAATTCGTTATCTGTCTGCACCCAGATCAACAGAGGTGGCTCCACAAATTCCTCCTCAGATTATTATACTAGGCTATTTCTCTCCCCTCAAGAGAGAAAAGCTCCCACCAGTTGTCTGTAACCCTAAAATCCCTTGCAAGAGTAATTACAATCTTCTGTCATAAAACAGTTCTGTTTTCCTATATTAACAAGGAGGTGGAAGGTCTGAAACGAATGACTGCAACACACATCCAGTTTTATCCATTTGCTTTCTCACACAACCTCTACGGCCCTTCTTAGTTTCCAACATAAATAAGCCATCATCGTTCACTTCACAGTCAGGAATTGGTCTTGGGAAAGAGAAAAAAAGGAGTCCCTAAGAACTGAATTTCTTGCACATAACGGGAATATTTTACAAACCAGTTTAATGCTTATAGTTTTTGCTGCTTCTCGAAAACAGCATCATACCCTTCCTTTCCTTCCACAACGTCTGATATGTAAGTATCAATACACACCAAGAGACTCATTCAATTTTTTGAAAATCAGAATCAGAGAAACCTAAAATCCCAGAAAAAAAGAAAAAAAAAAAAAAGGAAGAAAGAAAGAAAAAGAAAAAGAAAAAAAGAAAAGAAAAGCAGTTTGCCTGGATCTCCTGCTCACCGATGCCCATCTGCAAATCTGCATTTTCTCTTCTCTCATGGAAGGGTCTCCACCAAACACAGACAATTTCAGGGGCAGCCAAAAGAAAGAGCTAACACAATCAGGCTAACAACAGTCACTGTAACTTTAGTTCTTTTTTTGTTATTTTTTTTTTCCTCCTGTGCCTCCCTCTTGGCCTCTCTGGGGTGGGTGGAAGGGGGAGGGAAGTAAATGCAATAAAGCACCGCACTCCTACCTTGCCCGCGACTGACAAGCAACCCGAGCAGGTAGAAGGAGAGGAGGAGGCTCATGTTCAGGACGTGACACTGGTGGACAATCCCAAAGTTATTACGTCCAGCCCCGCAGAGAGACCCTTCCGCTGCCACGGCCGCCCGTCGAGCCCGCGCCGCTCCGGGTGCCCGGTGCCGGCGCCGCAGCCCGCGCCGCTCTCGCGAAGTGACTGCGCCGCTGCTCGCCCGCACTATATCCCGGCGGCGGCGGCGGCGGCGGCACAGGCGGAGGCAGCGGCGGCCGCGGCGGCGGCGGGGCGGCGGGAGGGGGCGGAGACGCGCGAGCCGGCGGGCGGGAGGAGGCGTGGCCAGGCGGATCCCTCCGCGCCGCACGACGGCCTCTATCGGAGGCGCGCGGCTACGGATGCGTCCGCGCCGAGTTCAGCGCCGTGGGTTCGCGTCCCGGTGCCTCTTGCCGTTGAGAAGGAGCAGACGCCGCGGAGGAAGACTCCACGCGCACCCCGCGAGAAGCGCTCGCTGCTGGATGGGCTCCCCTGGACCGCGGGGAGGGAGTTCAGCGGCCCTGAGAGCTGGAGAGCTGCCGACCTTCCCCCGCAGGGTCCCGTGTCCCGAGCTCTCCCGGCCTCTGCGGCTCAGCGGCTGCACGCGGTGCAGCCCCGGCTCTCTGGTCCACGAGCTGACGCGCTGGTGGGAGGGAGGATGGGGTCTCCAGAGCTCCCCGAGGCCGCCCTCCTGGGCGCTCAGACTGGAGCTGCTTGGCACCTCCGCAGGGGTCCCCTCCCCAGCTCTGCTGCACTCTGCAACGGCGGAGGGGAAGCGGATTCTCGCGTCTACACTGCCTGCCTCCCGGGCGCTGGAGGGTAGGCGGGAAGCCGAGCTGAGTGCCTTTTTTACATCTGCACCGACTGCTGCCGAGAGGGGACCCGGAGAGACTGTTTGAGAGGTGGGAGGGGCGGCGTTGCTCTTGCCATCAGTCCTTCGGAGCCGGTCCTTAGCCTCAGTCCCTGCTGCACGCCGCTCTTGCTCTCCGGAGCCTCTGCCCTCAGTCCCTAAGGCTCAGGTCCGCAAGAAGCTGCCGCCATGGGGCTGCCCCGATGTGGAAAGATGAATGGTGCGGGAATCCTTGTTTAAACTGAAGTGATGAAGCGGTGGCAAGCACCCAGAACTAACTCTCCTCACCTAAAGGTTGCAGCGTGTCATTTTTTCTGGCAGGGTAGGAAGCCATCTGTCAAACCTGGGCCCAGGGCTTGGAAAGAGGCAAAATCCTTGCCCCTCGGGTCTTGACAGTGGGTCCTCCAGTCTGCACTTTTTATTTGGGCTCCAAAGAGTAATCAGTTGCCTCACTTCAGGCTCAGTGAGCTCCCAGGGGTTTTCCTTATCACCAGGGACAGAAAAATAAGGTGAGATAGAGATACAGAAGGGCTCAGAATCAAAGAGGAAAGAGCAGTTCTCAAGCGGTGCCAGAGCCAGGCTCCTCATCAATGGGCCTCTCTGTACCCCCCACCTTGAGAACCTGTTCCTCCTCCCTGATTTTACAACAACAGGCAGATATATTTGGAGAGTGCTTTTGTCAAGACATCTTAGTACTACCCTTTACGGTTCTAGGTTGCAACACCTGTCCTTAAGTAAACTCACGGTCAGCTTTTTGGCAGGAAAGAGTAGAAACAGGAGCATGTATAGGTGAAAGAAAAATGGCTTGTATATTTTTATTATTTCCTGATTTCTGTAGGGAGATTAAAGGGAACGAACACACATAATCACAGATGATTATAGCAAGGATACTGCTTTTGGCAAATACCCTCTTCATTACAGTCTGCAATTTTTCTACATGACCCTGTTGGTCATCTTTCCCTCCGTCTGTCTGTCTGTCTGTCTCTCTCTCCCTCTCTCTGTCTGTCTCTCTCTCTGTGTCTCTCTCTCTCTTTCTCTCTCTCCCTCCCTCCCTCCCTCTCCCAGACATGCACCCAGGCACACCGCCTGGTAATTAGAGTAACACAGTTCTGACTATTGAATTGTCCTGTTATTAGATGTTGAAGTACTTTTATCTAAAGCAGAGTTGAACCTTGCCAAAGGAGAATGTGGCAGCCTGCAGATAGTTTAGACAGGAAATCTTAGAATAAGATGTGGTAGGAAAAAGAATTGCAGTGGTCTATCAGACATTGGATAAGTTTCTGATAACACATTTTTATCCTGACTGTACAAAATCCATTTTGAGTTTGTGATTGTGTATGTATGTATCTGTGTGTGTCACTGTCACTTTCTCCTTGAAACAGTATCAGACACCCACAATTTGAAGGGAAAAGTTACTTGGACTCAAGGGTTTTAGAGGTTTGGAGTATAGTTGATGGGCTCTTAGGCTGAAACTGCAAGAAGAAAAAAACCTGCCCTCGAGGAGAGTCCAGTTATCGAATTGCCAGGGAACCAGAGAGAGAAAGGAGGCCCCGGAATGGACACAGTCCCCAAGTCATGCTTCCAGGGATCTGAGAGCAAATCAGCCACAAAGCCCAAAGCCCACTTACCAGATCGTGAGGCTCTTGGGGACATGTACATACAAACCGTAACAGTAGGCAAGAAAGAGAGGTCATCAGTGAATACTGAAAAGGTAATGGAGCAGAGTGTTGTTACTCTGAAACATATGAAGGTGGAACAGCAATTTATTCTGCTATGAAGTTGCTAAAAGTCTTGTTGAAGGGATGATCAGGAATAAACTCAAGATCTAACCATATGACTGAGCTTATAAATTATCATACGAAGAGTAAAAATAAACTGCTATTGTGGCAAAGGAGGGGACCATTTCAGAGTAGGGAAGTAAAAAATGGTTTGAGAAACTTTGCAAAAAAAAAAAAAAAGGAATAATTAGGCAGAAATGTGGGCAGGATAGAGAGGAGTTTGAGCAAGGCATGAGACATGTGAAAGTACACAATATTTGAAAATAGTACAGCATGGACAACATAAAGGTGGACTGAGTTATGCTGAGGAACGTGGTGTGTATTATGTAAATACTTACTACCATGACGTACATGGTCAAGAAGTGTCTGTCTAGGTTTGGATGCTCAATAGTGAGAGTACTTGCGGAGCATGCAAGATACTAGGTAAGATCCCCAGCATAGCCACAAATTTTAAAATAACTATTCTCAAGGATGGAGGCTGGAAGCAAGACATAGACCCACTGGAATATTATTATCAGAGCTTTTATTTTATTTTATGCATTGTTAGCCAAATTTATTTTCTGAAAAGGTCTTGAGATCAGAGTGTCATATACAGATACAAAATTCTTTTTCTCTTCAAGTGCCTTTCAGCTAAAGATAGAAGTCCCTCTCTAGAGCTCTCATAAGAAACACACTCATTTCCCACTGCAAGGCCAAAGTTATTTGCCTTCATTTGCCTAGGTCAGTTTCTCTTCCTAACAGGTAGATGGAGTAAGGACAATGCATAAAGAGTTTACTTCTGCTGAAGAACTCCACACCGTTTCCATAATATGGTGTCATGAAATAAATACATCCATGTCCATGACTAGGTCATATACACTGTGTGTGGTGCAAAGAGTATAGAAATGCATCCAGTTCCTTGATGTGATTTATAATTTATACGTAAGACGGTTTAGCAGCTTCTTCATCTATCTGCAGAAACGTTTCAGAGGCTTCGATGATGCTTTTGTTATTTCATTTATAAAAATAAGAGTGAGTTTCACAGGACTCGGGAATCTATGAAGAGCTGAGTAGTGAGAAATACCAACAGGACTAGATGCATGGTTAAATGGAAGCAGATAAATTTGATTTAGAAGAATCAATAAAATGAACATGAAGGAGTAGCCGAGAGATAGAAAACGATAAGGTGCATTATATGTGGAAATTATCTTCTCAGAGAGATTCTGCTTCTTACATCTGCATGCTGTCCTAGCAAAAAGCGTGCAGACCTACAATGTAGTCATGGAGCCTGGGTATGAATGGTGTGCCCTGGATGGTGTTTAAACATAGTTTTTATTTCTCTCTTCCTAGTGTTATTTTTGTTTACTCTCTATATTGACAGGATTCATGTGCTTTAAGATTGCACTATCAGGAAATAGGACTTACCATGGGTTCATTTATATTTTTAAAATGTCACAGGCCATTATACCTATTCATTTACTTGTCTAGAAAATTGCCTGTTTGGGCTTTTTTATTACCACAAAGGAAGAAAAATATCCACTGTACATAGAGAGAGATAGCCTGAAACCTCTATAAACTGATGATGTTACCACTGCCATCATTTTGCCATTAATGCCACTTTTTCTAATGATTATATCTCTGAAAATAATTTCTACTTTCTTGTTACAAGAACTTCTTAGATATTTTACTAGGCTATTTCTGAGTGTATAACAGTGGGTCCTTGGGTGGTAGGATTTATATTTTAACACCTTCTTTGGTAAATGCCTTACTTTCTTAAATGTTCTATATGAAATTATGAAATAGAAGAGCCAGATTTATGGTACTGAGGTACCTAATTGTCACAGATTTTTACTCTAATTTCTTTCAAGATACATGGGGTCATTTTCCTTCATGGCTACTTCATGTTCCCTCTGGGCAAAGAACTGCTCATTTTGCTCTGAAATTATGCAATGACTGCCTATAATTTGCCACTTGCCAGAATAATATTTTCTTAACTCTGAGGGATATTATATTCTTTTCAACAGAAAACCCTGGAAAATATAATAATGGACAGAACAGGAAATATAACAAACCTGTAACCTTTGGACAAAAAAATGATTGACACAATTTTAAGAATATATTAAGGGAAAGCAAGAAAGGAAAAATGAACCAAGCAGTGGCTAGTAATGAACCTATTTGATGTGGCAAGGATCATGATATGAAATTCAGTTTGCCTAAATATTGATCACCACACTCTGAAATCATATTTTTGCCCATAGGTAGTATTGACTAGGTGATGTCTCCACAAATCCTATCACGAAGACAGCAGTTATTACCTACTAGATTACAAATCCTTTATCTCTGGCAACTGATACCACAAAAACATAGCTTTGATAGGATATAGGAGGTTAATCAAATGCATTTTGAAGCATGATAAAACTGGCAATTAAATATGGAGAAATATTGTACAGAAATTTTGGGGTTTTTTCTGTTAATGGTGTTATGTTTCTGTTTTTTCAAGTCAGACAAGTGATTTTGTTATTAATGACTAGCAATATCTTTCCTTTATAACCACAAACTATTAATATTCTACCTAAGAATAAATCAATGTGTATTACTATAATATACATATTTTAGTGTGTATTATTTAAGGAAAAGACATTTACCTTTTGCCTTTACATGAAATGATCCTCACTTACTAAAAAAAGTGACACTTTCCGCTATAACCATTCTTTATCATTCGTCCTCTGTTTAAATAAATCTGCATTTAACACCTGTTACTGGCTTTGGCAGCCTTCCTAAAACCAAAGATTTCAACATTTATGGAAGAACTTGGCCTGAATGTAAATAGTCTGGCTATCTTAAATGAATTAGTACAGAAAAATGGAACTAAAGATCTATATGCTTTATTATGAATTAATTCTTATTACTCATAAATCCTGCATGACAGAAATTTAAAAATATAAAAATTCTATACTGCAAAAGAACATATCCTTGAATATGTTGTCATATTTTATTCCAATATTTCATATTTTCTCCTAATTTAGCTTAAGATACTACATTTTGACCTCTTTTTACTTTGGTCTAAAGTAGAAATGAATTTTACCCTGCTATTAATTTTACAAATACAAATGTGTGAATTCATTTAAATGCAAAAATTGGGCTCTATATTAACAACTTTCATACACCAAGACATTAAGAGTTTCTTTGTAATTTTTATTATGAATGACCATGGAG